CACATCCCAATGATATTATGGTTGACTTTAGACTTATTAATATTACATAACATTCACTCAATGTTTATTATAAAATCTTAATTTATTGCATAATTTAACACAACTGATCGTAAATATGATTTGCGTTTACCTCTTTGAAAAATCAATTAAGTTTCCACAACTCTTATCGATTTCATATGAGATTATATCATACACTGTACTAAATGATTAAACATTTAAAATAAATAATTAATTTGTATTTTAATAAAACTGAAATTAAAATAAATATTTAATAAATTGCATTAAATTGTATATTGATTAAAGTGATGATTAATTTAAAAAAATGTTTCGGACATATAATAGTTTACATTAGATTAGGTTTTGCTAATAAATTTTATGCAAATATTAAATTTCCCCAAAAAGGTTAATAATTAATGTTAAGATAAAATATTTCTTAATTAAACTAAAAGTTTTAAGTGTTATATAAAAGCTAATACTAGTTATTAAACAGTAATACTGTGTTTGTTATGCCTCTAATTATTTAATGATAACTTATTAATTAATTCATTACAAAACAAAAAATATAGTGTAATAATTTTATTTTGTTTTGATATTTGTATTAATTATATATCGATATTGAATTTGTGACAAATTTTAAAATTTTATATCAAAAACCATTAAAAACTATTCATTTTCAAAAAAGCTAGAAAAATAAATGCCATGACATTAAATAAATATTTTTTAAAATTTAATAAAATAATATTAAAAATTAAATTTATAGGATATTTATTGAGTAATAATTATTTATCACAATATTTTCACACACATTAGAGTCAAAGTGACACTAATAGAGGCAAACAATGGGATGTTGTGTCCCAACAATAGCCTCCTTTGATGGCAATAAAATTTCATTTCGTTTCTCCTGTTTTGTCATTATATAAGACTACAATACAGTCGATGCTCTCATCTGTGAACACCTTTACGTTATGAACGGTTGGAAAATATTTGGCGGTTTTCCTATACCTCTAAAGTCAAGAACACTTCCAAACTATAAACAGTCTATTAAAAGATTGCCATAATATATAATATTATTATATAAGGTATACATTTCCTATTATAACCACACTTTACTTATAGATACCATCTCGAAATGAAGGCAAAAATAGGAAACTCATGATAAAGTATATATTTAGGCTTATTTATATTAGTTTCACTAAATACTCAACGATAAGGTAATGTATCAATAATTTAAAGGATATAATAAAGAATCGTTTAATACAATGACAATTGAAGGGTAATATGTGTGTTGTGTGGTTGACATACGGGAGTGTTAACTGTATTGAGTGATTTCAAATTGAATCAAATTCTTTATATCCGCTATAGATTTGACGCTATTTTAAAAATGCATTTAAAGAAAGCATTAGTTAAGGAATATTAAGGCATTAAATCATATAAATTAATATTTGTTAATAAGTTTATCGATCCAATGCTTTCCTATTTTATGCTTTCTATCACAGGATATGCTTTGTATTGACTTTAAGTTTATTTAATTCACTTATTTATTATTTGCTTTTAATTTATTATAGATATTTAGTCTAATATATAATCTAATCGATTATTTAGACGATAAAAATACGTGGAGACAAAAGCCAAGAGATAACTATCACTATTGTATTAAAAAAGAGGCGGTGGGCAGGGATTGGCGCAAATAAATTTCATATTATTTATGGTTAACATTTTAAAAATCATATTTGTAAATTGCATTCAATTAATTTTTTCTCGCATTTAAAGAATTAATTTATTTTTAATGTTTAAAATGACCGTTTTTATAAACTTTGCAAAAGTTTGCCGTAACTTTATTTCTCAATCAATAATCAGTTTATGACTTTCATATAACTCTAATAATGCATGTTTTAAGATATAATTTATTGATTGATTTATTGATTTCAGGTGTTATGACAATTGGCTTTTCATATAATGTTTAACTAATATAATATGAGTACAATTTATTTGTTGAAACATTTGTGCACTTTTGAGCCTCTATTATATTAAAAGCATATTTTTTAAAGTTATTAAAATTTAATCGTTTGATTCTTTGTCCAACACTTTAAGTTACACTTAATGTTTGTAAAGAGTAAATAATTTTTAACAAACTTTTTTCACAATTTAATATATGGTAAGACTTGAATTGAATTAAAATTTATTTAACAAATAATTTATTAAAATACTTTAAATCAATGCACTTTTTGTTTCTATTAGGGAAATAGTTATTATACAAATATTATAATATAAGTAAATAATCCGATTGATTAATATGATAATCACCATGTTCAATTAAGCCATTATTATAATATCAAGCTATTAAATCAGTCATTTCCATAGGAATTAAGTTTTCAAATGAATTTAAATGTAATTTAAACGTAATTTGTGTGACAAAAGTGTGTCAATACACGTGTATTGAGTGAAGACTAGACGTGAGATTCAAATGAGAAAACTTGAAAAATATGTCAAAATATCTAAACATTTGTTTGTATTTAAAATAATAATTCAATTGTTTTGACAGAAGTTTGTGTGAAATGAAGGAAATGGTTGACAACAAGACTACGAAACCAACATTTGTGGTGATCTTCGCCTCACTTGTCATGGATTTGATGGCATTTACGCTAATCTTGCCGTTAATGCCATCCATTCTTGACTATTACTCTATCAATGATCAGGTATTTGACCACAGATTGTCTTCAATTGTCTTCTTCTTATTCATTGTATTGTCATTTGTCTGAAAGAGTGGTCTCTTCGCGTGGATTGAGTCGAAAGTGGAGTTAAGTCAGCACTGGTTGGGCAGTCCTCGAGAGTTCAACAAAGGTCTCAATATCTAGTTATGGATAGTTTGGCGTCAATTGAACCCAAATTGTTGTCTTAATTATAGTCCTGTTTGGAGGTCTAATCGGTTCCTGGTTTTCATTACTGCAATACATAACACAACCAATAGTGGGCTCTCTGTCCGACATTTACGGCCGAAAACCCGTCCTATTGTTGTGTTTGACGGGAATATCCATTTCGTACTTCTTTTGGAGTCTTTCCTCTCAATTGTTCACAATATTTCTCATTTCGCGTACAATCGGAGGCTTAAGTAAAGGCAATATCAGTTTGAGTACAGCCGTCATCACCGATGTCTCCAATGAGTCCAATAGAGGCAAAGGAATGGCTTTAATCGGTATCTCATTCTCCGTCGGATTTATTGTAATTAATTTGCATTTTATTTTCTAATTGACTCTTAAATAACGGCTTTAATGAACCGATAGATTGGACCGGTTTTGGGCGCAACGTTTGCCGTGTGGTCGCGTTCAGCCGATGCCCAACACTTCTTCCAGTTATGGCCCGCACTCTTCGCGCTAACCCTTTCCTTAATTAATGTGATATTCATTTGGCGTTATTTTCGCGAATCTCTTCCGACGAACCGAAGGGTATTTATATCTGTAATCAAATGTTATTTCCTTTTAATTAATATTTATTTTCAACGAAAGGCTCGTTCGTTGGGATCGGGACTGAAGCAAGCGTTAGACTATATGAGCCCTCTATCGCTATTCTCGTTCCGTCCGGTTATGGATATCAAAGATTTTGGTATTGAATGCAAATATTGAGTGTTTTATACGACAGGATATGTTGTAAATGATGTTTGATATCTATTTAATCAGATCTATTAGTGCTAAAGCGTGGTAGTCGTGTGTACTTCCTCTTCCTATACTTATATTCAGGTCTAGAATTTACGCTAACATTCCTCACACACTTGCGATTCAATTATTCCAGGTTTTGTACAATCAATCGCTTTCCATGTATTCATATCTATTAATAACAATATATATCACTCTTTAGCGCACAACAGGGAAGGCTCTACTTATTTGCCGGACTTTTGATGACTTTAATACAGGGATCGTTTGTCAGACGAATTAAACCGGGAAATGAGTTAAAGACTGTGTTTTTTGTTAGTTTTTGATAATGCTTTTATGTTAGTATAATTCATAAACATGGTTATTTTCATTTTTGTGCATTTTAGGGCATTTTAACAATCATTCCAGCATTTATTTTAATTGGTTTGGCATCAAATCAATTGCAATTATACATTGGACTTGCATTCTATGCATATTCCTCAGCAACAGTGGTTCCGTGTCTGACCACTACTATCTCCTCATACGGTCCGCCCGACCAGAAAGGGGTAATTCTGGGTATATTTCGATCTTTAGGAGCACTCGCCAGAGCCTTAGGACCCGTATCCGCCTCTTTAGGTATTGATGTATACATTGTTTGCAAAGAATTATTAATTATAACCTTTAAATGTTATAATTGATAGTGTTTTGGAGATTTGGTGGATCCGTATGTTATTGTTTGGGAGCTTTTCTATTGATTTTTCCACTATTAATGTCTTACGAATTGAAGAAACTTATAACGAATTCTAAGTCTAAGAGTACATGACTTTTGGTTGATATTTGACTGCATTTGAAGCAATATTTTCAACGAATTCAACAATATTTTTAATTATAGAGATTTATTTATTTATAACTAAATATTATGGAAATAATTGCAATAAATATGTGATAAATGAAGAGATTTATAAAGAATAATACTTATAAAATGTACGGATTGTGATATAAGTTCATAAATTTATATAAAGTTATATAAAGTAAATGTTTAATTAAAATTAAAGATCCAAATGAATTAGAATCGAGATTATGTTGTCTTTAATTAAGTGTCAATTTCTGCTTTAATGTCTCATTTAAGACGAATGTCTGACTATAGCTAATGATTAGTTTGATTGTTGTCTTCAATTGGCAATCAATCGCTGTTTCATAAGTTTTTGCTTCAATTTTGCGTAAATTAATTTGTTTATTGCTATCAAAGAGTCTGAATAGTTGTCGCAATTCATGGATTCGCGATGTTTTTGGTCCGCATTTATTTGATTCAATCGATTGACTGAAGAAGTCATCAAAAAGAGTGTTACCATTCAGAAAGAGATCACACAAGGGATCAAACTTTTGTCGCATTGCCTTCAATACAGAGTAACTTTCGGTTATTATTAACGAGAATTGAGTCTTCATTTGGACGACAAATGGTCTGACGAGACAACTGTCCGATAGATAGACAAGACTGACGACCAAAACGCAAATGTCTTTAATAGGCATTTGTTGACCGCTCTTGAAGTCACCCGAAATGATATAATCAAATCCAAAGTACTTTTTGATAAACTTTTCGATCACTGAATATATTTTGTGGGGAATATATCTGTGAACGACATCCAGATCTATGCCATCGATCGATATATCATTGATGTGTTGATTGTCTTCGCCAGTGATGTCCTTCAGAGGAATGAATTGGCTTTTCATAATCAGGAGACAAAGATATTTGCCATCACTTAAGTCAGACAACGACTGGACCGCAGGTTTTGGCGCAACCATTGCGCTAATGATGTATTTTATACTCTCAATCACTTCTTCGTCGTCCGTGCGATCACTTCTTGACATTTTGTGAATTCAATTATCAATTAAATGAATGAATGGTTTTAAAATAATTTCATTCACTTATTGTCTGGTATTGTCTGAAACTTTTGAAAAGTTTGTTCAATTATTACAGTTTTTACAGTTCATTGAACCAAACACTCGGTATTCAATGACTATATTGTTTCATGTGATAAATATTATGTTATATTTAATATTTAATAGCATATTATTGAATTTAATTAATTATTAAAATTATTATAAACTTAAAAATTAATTGCTAAATTATTAAAAATTTTTAATTCAGACCTACATATATTGCATACCAATTGTTAACCGTTATATTATATGGAATTAAATGAGTTATTTAATGACAAAATGAATATATTATAGCAAAACCGCCAAAAGATTTAATTATTATGTTATATAAACAACTGACAAATCAATTTTTGTGTTCAAATTATGTTTACAACATGATCTAGCATAATTTATAAATATTATTATATTTTATTTGACAATTATTTTAGACAATAATCAAATTATTAGGAAATGAGAAAAATTCTTAAACAAAATAATAAACATTTATATAGAATAGCATATTATTATAAGTATAGTATTGTTTTGTATATTTAAATGTTAATTTCAATAATGTAAGACTTATTTTTACATTATATTTATTAAATGATTTATTATGACATTAATTTTAGTAACGATTTAAATAATTTTATATAATAAACAACCTATTTTGATAAATAAATTGTGAACACTTAATGAATTACAGGGTAAATGAAAAAATACTTTATTTACTGACAAGTGGGTAGAATTATAAGTATTATAGATAATATAGATTTAAATAAAAGATTTTTGATTATATTTATTGTCAATTGTCTCTCTTATGAGACGGCATTTCGGATTAAATATTTGTTAACAATTTCTAGAGTACAGTATAATTAAAATTAAACCAAAACGGGAATCTTAACGTTTTATTTTATAACGTTACCTTTACAAGGGATACATATATACAATACTCTATAAGATTAATACAATCTAATTCATTGTAAATTTGCTTTCAATTCAATTTACATTTTGAGACAGTCTTTTGGGATGATCTGCGCTGAGCCCAAGACTTTTCCGCGAACCGATTGGTCGACGCAATCGTCAAAACGGTCAAAACCAATGATTAACGTCAACACAATGGCCACAATCGCCCAAATGATGGCCGTGTATGGCATCCGAGCGATGCGTTGGACACCAGTTTGGCCGCAATGTTAACCCTCGAGAATGTGGTCAAAGTTGTGGTTAAATACTGGCCGTCAACCGAACTAATTAGTGGCCATATTTCGGCAATTTGTGGTCAACAATATTTAGCACATGTTGGCCACAAAGTGTCGCAAACAGTCTAAACCTATCATTAGGACAATTAGAGATCCGACGGCTGTTTGATTTGTTTGCCAAAATGTAAACACGATTTAAATTGAGTTGCAATTAATTAAACCAAAATTTTATTAAATATTTTCAACAAATTAAACTGTTTTAGTCGTGTATATCGTATGAATTACAGCGATATTCAGGTATTAGTGAAGCATTTTCTAACTTGTAAGGGAGTAAGAAATACGCTGTCCCTCCCTTTCACCGCTCGGTTATAATCTTTAGAGTTTACAAAACGGATCATTTTCATCGGTGTCCGCATATTCCGGTTCATTGGTTTTAATTTAATTTATTATTATTCATCTAACAATATGTATAATTAACACTAATATAAATTTTAAAAGTTCAGTTAACATAAAATATATGATAAATATAAAGCATTTAATGGTTTAATTCACTCTTTCATTTGATCTCATTTGCCAGTAATTGTGTTGCAAGTGCTAAATAGTATCTACTATGTTATGTAGCAAAGAATGGCTTATAAATAAATGCATCAATTAATGACAACTCAACTAATATTTTTATTATACATGTAGATGCAAATATTTAGCGTCTAAATTATTACATTACAAGTGATAATTAATATTAATAATTGATATCTACTTGCTGAAAATTTTATTTATAAGATAAACTCTTTGAGAAGCTTATTGAAGCTTATTGAATAACATAACATTCCATAGTATTGGCATACTTTAACATAGTTAATTTGAAATTTATATCAAGTTGAAATTCATTATTTATTAACAACACTATTAGTCGATCAATTCCTTGCACTTAAAACAAATCTGAATATTTCAACAATTAAAATTTTTAATTAAGTTGAATAAATAAAATTAAATTTAATATTACGTTGATCATAATGGTTTGCATAATTTATGACTATTTGAGTAAAGAAATATTTTTAAAAAATCATTAATAATTATAATTTTAATTAAAGTTTACAGTTTACATATTTGTGTTTAAAAAAATGTTTTAATAAACAATAGAATTTATATTAAGGTTTTATGTAAAATTGAAATGCAATTAAAAATTAATCTACAAAAATAGCACAAATATATAAATTTTTATAGATAAACAAATTTCTGATGAATTACAATAAGCAATAAATTTGGCTACAATTAACATAATTTCTAATATAAAAACTATTAAATATCTAATAAATGGCTTTCATATAAAAAGGCATCATTTTTTCTCATTGACTAAACGTGTAAGAAATGAAAGCAACATTAGGTTTGGTGTTTGAATAGAGAAGTTGTAGTAAAATGTTTATCTTAGGTTTGTATGCAATAGTTTGAGTCAAAAGTAAGTTTACAAATAGATAAGAGTCAATACAGTAGTGAAAGTGATAGGCGTTTAGAGAATGCATTGTCTGTTAGTTAACAACACTATTAGTATTATTTTACTTAAGAACTCATTTTTCATGCATCAGATCTCAAACATATGACCCAAACTATTGCCAAACGCTAACAAAACAGACACTGCATGAAAGCCAACTGAGTGTTGGGGCCCATCACTGGTTTGGGGCTCATGTTTCATCTCAAACATCTCTCACACATTTTCTCCCAAACCATTTATATTGGCTTCTCATCGAAAGCTAAACATTGCATATCTCACTGCACATCAAGAATCGTATTGTAAATGCATTGTATTGGCTCAACACCACATCACACCTTCCTCTCCCAGTTATCCCTTTTTTATGACAATTTCACTCCAATCTAATTGAATCCCTGAAACACAAACACCAGAATAAATGAAATGCAAATAACAAATATCGCAATTATCTGTGCATTCAATTGCAGTAATCATTGGAAAGATTGTTATAATAGGGAGTGTTTATGGATTCACACATCCATTGTCTGCTATGATAGGGAAGAGCAGACAGAGTCTGGTGTGGGAGGAGTAAGACTAGAATGGATTGTTATTTAGATGCGATCTATCAATGGAATCAATCACTGCTATCACTAACAATACAATCTTACGCTTCCTTTCAATGCAAAACTTGTTCACAAAGTTTTTCAAATGGCTTTCACTTTGAGTTTAAGTCATCGGAAGAACTGAATTGTTTTGTTTTTTAACGAGAAGTGCTTCTGAATAGTGAGTGAGAACTTAAGAAGTGAAGTGTTATATAAAAAGACATTAATTATGATTAAGTTGTGTTCACTTCTCGAATAGGTTACGATGGAAATGAGCCAATTCTATGCCAATAATTTCAATTACCAGACAAGTGGACAGTTATTGCCCTATGAAGCCAAGGATTTGAATGGCTCTGTCATTACTGGTGCTTCATTTTCTGGCACTAACTTTAGTGGTGAGTCTCAAGACACAGACCTACCGGTGCCGAGAGTCTCTTCATTTGACTCAAATGCAGAGCATTTGAATTTATTGTCACTTCACTCGCATTCATACAACTATTTCGATGACTTCACTCTATGTTCACAACAATTCAATGAAACTCAACCCCAATATAACGAAATGCAAATCAATGCTAACAACACTTCAAACTCAATCAATGGCAATATATGCGAGCCTCAAATGCAGTACTGGTCGTCCACTCAGACACAGGCACTCAATCAGTTCAATATGACTTCAATAATGTCACCACACGTTCAAAATCTTTCCAACTTTTGTTTCCCAATTTGTCAAAACAGTCAACAAATTCAGACAAACACTCGAAACCAATTTAACGAATTGTCGAGAGTTTCAAACAACTCCGAAGACATGTTGACCACTGGTTTGAACGCTTCCAACAAATTTCAATGCAATTCTACCAGAAGTTTGTCCGAAACAAACAAATTTGAAACCAAAAATGAATTTATTTCGAGTATTGAAATCATTTCTTCTTATAAATTAAGAAATATAATCATTTTATTGTTTGTATAATTGATAGATAATCGCACAGAAGATGTAAAGGATTGTAAGAAATTAAGTTTGAATGTTGAAAAATATGGAGACATTTCGGCTAATATTTCAAATCAAAGTTCAAGACCGCGAACAAGACGTAAACCTCGTGTCCTATTTTCTCGGGTATTTAATATTACTAATCAATTGTTACTAATTAATAGAAATAACTTAAAATTCCTATAAACAAGGCTCAGGTGCACGAACTCGAGCGCCGATTTAAGCAACAGAGATATCTTTCAGGTATTTCCGCAATAATTTGAATAAAACATAAAAATAATAATAATTTATCAATTAAAGCATCCGAGAGGGAAGAATTGGCACTAATTTTAAAGTTAACGTCAACTCAAATCAAAATATGGTATAAAAGTATTTTAACTTTAAACTTTATGATTTTATTGCATAATTTGAATATAAAATTAATTTCGTTGGTATTTAATTAACCTATAAATTGTTTAGGTTTCAAAACCGGAGATATAAATGCAAACGACAGAGAGTGGAGAAAGAGGAACACATTTCTATGAATACAATGAGAAGTAAAGAAGAGTCGATAGCAATGAGTCAATTCCCCCGACGGTTATCAGTGCCAGTGCTGGTGAGAGACGGCCGGTCGGCCAACAAACCTCCTCTTCATTGTTCACACTATTCTCATGCCAACAATTTTGGACAAAACAATCCGATGCATGACTTTAATTATGAATTCTTTTGGTAATTTTTATGTCAATACAATTTATAGCTTATTTGGTATTAACTTATTTTAAAAAATGTAAAACCCGTTACCCAGCAATGAATTCATTGACAGAATCTATATTAATGGGACGGAAGTCATGTAATTATGTTTTTAACGATATTATTGTTAAATTTAAAATTGTGTGCAAAATTTAAAATAAGCAGAAAATGTATGAAAATATAGAATAAAAACAAAAGTATATAAAAGTATACAAAAGTATAGCGACAACAGAAAAGAGTAATTATTATTTTTGGAGCTAAAGAGTGAGAAATGCCATTCATTGATGGCTCCAAGCATTCTATGAGTTTCTCATATTATCTAAACACAGGAACTCCTACTGAGAGACGAGTTTTTCTGCACTTTCTTTCAAAGGTAGTCGAGATCTGTGTTACGTTTGCTCTTTAATTAATGGCTATGAATGACAGCTTATGTAGACTTTTCTTTTTGGACACACAATACACTGCATTAGGAGATGGCATAAAGAAAACTACTATTTGTTTACACAGACTATTCTGGGCTCAGCTCTACAACACCTGAATATTAGTAAATGAGTTTTAAAGGACTTGTCTTCACATTTGTTTTGCATTACATAAACAATAAGTGGTCGACAGTAACTCTAAACAGGGGCTAAACTGCGAGTCCTTTAAATGACTTTCACGAGGAATACACTTCTCCTTATGAAATGCCAAACTGTCTGAAGAAACACTCAACTCATCACGACTTCACTTTCCTTATAGACACACATTTTACTTCATTTAAACAACTATTTTCATCATTCATTCCTGTTATGTCTGAGAGATTTCATTTTATTAATTAAAATAAAATGTTTTAATTTATAATTTAATGGTTAAATTAAAGTTTCCTTAATATGTTTGAATGATAACAATTAATTTAAATAAGTTATAAAATTACAATTTGTTACAATTTGAAGACTAAGGAAGTGCTCAACAGATGGCCAGAAATGTTTGGCAAAAAGTATTTCACTGAAATATATAAATTGTACTTTATATTTATTGTTTTTCAATATTTTATTCAACATTTTCTATATTCTAGAGTAGAATATAATTATTAAATAAATCATTTATTATATTATGATTTATATGAATGCGAGCGTAATATAGATTCAATTCATTTGGTTTATTGTTAGTATTAAACAGAAACCTAAAGAAAATCTTTATGAAAATGAAAAATAAACAAAATTTGGTTTAAAGAAAAACAATAGAGTTAATGATATATTCTTGGTTTACAATGAAATTTGAATGGTTTAATATGTAAACTCATTTTAAATAAATACAGTATTAATATCACTAAAAATAATTGTTTTCTTAATTAATGTTTAGTTATTATTGAAGAAATAAGTTTGAAGTTTTTAAGTTTGTATATATTATATACTAATTTATAAATAGTTATTTCAATCAATCATTTAGTTAAAGGATTATCTAAACATTAAATTCCCTATTTTTAGTGATTTTTATTAAACATGAGATAATCCTATTAAGTCATCAAATTGTTAATCTAATCATTAATAAGTAAGTAATGCATATATAATTAATTTATGTCATCTTATTTTGCAATTTAATAATTATTTAACTTTAAAAAATTTATGAAATGATCAAATTTTATTAAAAATCAAAAGTTAATATTTGATTAAATGTAATAATATTTAACAACATGTGTATCGCAACAATTTTTAAAATATTTTAATAATTATTAATAATATTGATAGTGCTACATTATTATTAAAAATATATTTTATTAAATTCAATAAAATTATTAATTAAAAATACAAATGTCTTTTAATGAGAAACGTAGAAATGGTGATCATTGTTAACACTAGAATCCATTTAACTATAAATCCAAAGAATATTTTATGATTGATTAAACAATGATTTTACATGCAATACAAATGTATTCCAAAAGTGTATAAATGTGTCATTCATTTGGAACACCCAATGTTAATAACTTTACATTTGGTACATTAAATTAAATTGTCAAATTTAAGATTATTAAGCTGTCAAAGAAATAAAATAATTAAAATATTTTTACAAATAGGATGCTAAAACTATAAAAAAATGTACATTTATATAAATAATTTAGTTTTGTAAAAAATTAAAATATATTTTAAATGTTATACTTAAGAAAAAATAAATAAAACAAATGACATATTATTTTGTACAGTATTGTAGTGTATGTGAAAAGAGGTGAATTGCCGGAGATGTGATCACATCTCTGGAAATGAGATATATATAAATGGTATATAATTAATAAGCAGAGGATAATCGGTGCTAACAATTGGTTAAACCATAAACACAGAGAAGGTTTAGAAACGGATGTAATTAATGAGTGAATTGTATTCACCAATTGATTGGTAAAGGGATTTGTTTAGCATTAGCTGATTGTGGGCTCAAATACCGGCGCCACTCAATGCCTCAATTATTAACGATTTGTAAATTTATGACAAAAGAGATAATATGTAAAGAACTGGAAATATCGGTGATTACGGAGCGAAACGCGACCCAAATGTGACTCAAATGGCATTCAATACAAACAATTCAATGCAAACTGAATGGGAAATTGTGAGGCAAATGGTGAACACTGTTTGACTGTTTTGAATGTTTGCGTTGATTGCATATTGCGATGAATATTGCCATACATTGCATAGTATTGAGGCTTTTGAGTGCTATTTATGAGACGACCTGTCTTTTAAAGACCGCTTTTAGTGACGTAAGTCGCAGATGAAGACATCAAAGCGGTTCAGATGGTTGTGATTGTTTTGCCATCGCTTTCATTGCAATCATTACTATCATTGATGTTCACTAATGAGAAGCAATAAAATTCTCGTCTAAAGTAAATGCAATGAATGAATGCGAAAACACTTTGTAATAAAGAGCTCACATTCGTAACACTTGGTATACATGTGAACATATAGTGCAGTATTGATCACAACTTTTTAAAACTTAATATAAATGTTCTATATTTTACACTATAAAGTTGCCACGTTGTTGCAAATGTTAAACCCTTTAATTAAAAAATGAATATGTATAATTATATAATACAATAAATTGTTATAACGTATAGTTAACACATTAACTAATTTGAATACAGAACTATTTCTGGTTGTATCAAATTTTGCTCCAAATTTATTCCTTTGATCAGTTCTGATATAATGTATAAGATGTGAGACACAGTCACGACAACTGTTCCCAAGTGTACAGAATGTATAGAATATACATAATATACCGCATCTTTAATTGTTTACATTTTCGGCATTCTTTGATCTCATCATCACTTCAATGTCTTCAACCAATTCTTTCATTTAATTCATTTTCATAATTATTCATACGATTATTCATTCGTAGATTTTATCAATTAATTTCATATATAATCATATTTTGAGCAATAATTTTGCTAAATTCTCAATATTTATGTTCCCAAACATCACTTTCTATTTCATCGTATTTGTAATTCAATTTGTTTTTACTAAAGACTTTTACAAAAGCTTTAAATCTCTCTCTCTCTCTCTCTAAGTTTTTACTCTTCATTTTCTGTCTTAAGTTAGTTTTTTGCCGATGAGTTGAGCATCTCTCTCTCTCTCTCTCTCTCTCTCTCTCTCTCTCTAAGTTTTACTCTTCATTTTCTGTCTTAAGTTAGTTTTTTGCCGATGAGTTGAGCGGAGAGTTAAGTACAGAATTAAAAGCTTCTTATTTCAAACAAAACTTTTAAATATTCCGAAAACGCTTTTATAAACAAAAAGAGTGCACTTTTTTACAAGTAATTCAATTAAAATATTGTAAACATTATAATACAAGCATTTAAATGATAACTACTGTTGAAATCGTTTTTTCATTATTCAAACGAATAGTGGTTTTTATCAGTTGTTTTTGCAAATGAAGACTCGCTTTAAAAATAAATACTTAGCTCTAAATTAATTGAAAATATTACTTAAATAAATCGTTGATTTTATTGTAAATATGTTAAGATTTTTTTAAAAGCCTTCTCTTAAAAATTTAAATTAGAAACTTCTGTAAAAACATGAATTCATTTGATATATTGATTGTAAAATGAGTCCAAAAATTCAATATTCATTTGCGACAAAACATTAAGAATCGGACAAATTCTTGACATTTTTTCTAAAAACCGAAAGAAACGCTAACTTTCTAACAGTAAGTGCTGTCCTGTTATCCGATTAGAGCCCAAACACATCAGTCAAGAGTGCAATAAAAATGTTGACTTTTGTCTTGTAATGTGAAGATCGCAATGTTTGTAGACATCAACTCTACAGATATTGTATGTTGAATGGAGTGCTAACTTCATGTACAGTATAGCAAATGATAACTTTTGTCTGTTTTCCCGTACCGTTCCCGGGAATCACTTACAATCAAAAGTAAATGCACAAACATGATCATATTGTTTGTTTTATTGTTCTCTATAAATAAGGTCAAATTTTAATAAATGTTTCTAATTTATTGTCTTTTGCAATTTAATTTATTAGCATGTGTATTTTAATTTCTCTCTCTCTCCCTCCCCCCTCTCTCTCTCTCTCTCTCCCACTCACTCCCTCCCTTTCCTACTACTCATTCACAATTTGTTTCTAAATTCACTTTTCTATTGTTTTCAAAATATATAAATAAAAATAAGTAATCCTGTTAAATTGTTATTTAGCACATGTATAGACTGAGAAGACTGACGGGATTGGGAACAAAAAGTGTGAAGAGCTGAGAGTCTAGCGTAAGTGCTCTACCGATTGTGTCGTCAGTCCATTGAATACCAGATGATATTCTGTTTGTCCAATACATACATAAACACCAATTAAGCGCGTTATCAATGGATCAGAAGATAACAAAAACAACAACTAATTGCTATTCACAGACAAGAAAAACACTTTTGAAAGACATTCACATTATATAAATAAGCGCATCGTTTGCATCGCTCTAATTGAAAGGGACTTATAGTGCGGGCACTCAAACAGCCTTTCAATCAAC